CCATTCATACACCCGCCCTTGCCCTTCAGAGTGCAGCTAGGGAGGACGGCCCCACCGGGCGCTGGTAGACAGCTCAGACCCTCAGCTAGACTCAGCACGCCCATGCGGGCCAACACTCCAACGCGCAGCTTTAAACCCATGCATGGAACATTGGGCTGGGCATTTAGTAGGTGCTCAACGAACCAGTTTCCTTGTTTCCCCACCTTCCCATGAAGCTGGTCCCTTCTCTGGGTTTCTACAGCACTATCTGTAGTCTTCTGAAATCATTAGCAGGTTGACACGTGACCATTGGCTTATAATTGATCCCTTCCTGGGTTCTGGATCAGAATCACTCTTCTTGCCCCCATCTCAGACCTGCTGAGTTAGAATCTTTGAGGGTGGGGCCAACATTTACACTTTATCCAACTCCCTAGTTGGTTCTTTGTACCCAAAGTTGGAGAGCCAAGAGACCCCGTGTTGGCCTGTGGGCTCTCTCAAGGCAAGATGAGGGTTAACAGTGAGACACCTGCCTCAGGTGGAAGTGAAGTTGATTTTATTCATTTAACAAAAACATACTGGGAGCTAACTAGGTGGTGGGTGTTTTGCGAAAACCTAAAAATAGCACATCATATAAACACATCATAAAAACAGCCACACAATCAAATATTTGTGACACGCATTCATAGTTTAAAAAGCACTCTTCCATCTGTCATCTTAACAACTCGGTGTTGGCGGAGCCAGGACTCGGAGCTGGGCCTTCATGCCACTGGCCTGGGCTTCCCCTGTGCTTCTATCCTGTTCCAGGGGCAGAGGAAGGGGAAGGAGGCCCCCATGGGAAGGTTGCCTGCATGGGCGCAGTGAAGGGCCTCACAGAGAAGGAGAAGCCCATCACTCATTTTGGGAGAAGACAGAGGATGAGGGCACGTTTCTCTGCAGATGTCCCTTCCACACGTGGGACTTGAAGGCATTTTGTTCCCACACTTCAGAGTGTTTGTTGTCCCTCCACAAGGCTGAAATGGCTGCACCGTGGCCTTGGGATGGAAAGTGACCCTCCTCCAGAGAGGGGAATGGAGGCCACAGATGGAGGTGGTGGAATGCTGGCAGGAAACGGTGTAGGACAGCAGTGAGTGTCCTAAAACACTAAAACATACCTACAACGACCCCAAAGTCCTAACAGTGTCACCATTCTCTGCAGCTGACTGGGCTCAGGAAAGTCCCTAATTTAGTCCTGTTCCCAGGAGAAACGCAGACAAATCCATCTTTCTTTTAATAAACTTTTAGTCCAGATTAACCTGAAATTGTGTCCTCTAAAACTTCTTACTGTCCCATGGTGTTGCTCCTAAAATTGATCTGCGAGTCTGTTCCCACCACCAGCAAAGTGCCCATCAGCGGATTCTTACCTGCATCACCCAGAATAGGGCGACCAGCAGGGGAAAGGCTTGGAACACCTACATCCTCACTCCCTGAACTCTGGGTGCATGGTAATCGCTAGGTCACCAAGTTCCACAGCAATTTGTAGTAACTGGGTACATAAGGCATTAGCAGAATTCTGTCATGGATGGTAAAGGAGAGGGTTTTCCAGTCGTGATATGAGTGTTTGCCAAAATCAAATTAAGAAAACGATCTGTTATATTTAATCATGGGGAACTGAGACAGCAAAATTATCCATCACATCCTTGCACCTCTTTCCAAACCGCAGCTAAGGCCACACTTCCCTGCAAACACGCTAAGTGGCCCAGTGGCTCTGTCTTCTCTCCCTCACAGCACGCCCCACCATGGCGTGGCCCGTGGCTCCAGGGCTTTCTGTCCCAAGACGGCGCCTTGCAAGAGAGCGTTTGTTGATCGAACCTCTGCTCTGCTCTTGAGGCAGAAGGACACCACCATAGGAGTCACAAGCGTGTCATGCTGGCTGACAGCTGGGTCCTGGTCCCTTCCTTTCTTTTTTAACTTGCTGGGTTGTCTCAGGTAGGGCTGTGGTTTCACCCCTGAAACTGCTAAGAGGCAGCTCCCCACTTCTCTCCTCGTTCTGTCTCCTTCCACCTTTATTACATATGAGGGAGCAGCCAGGGCCACCAGCTCTGAATGGAGGTGAGCTCATTGCTTGTCCCAGGGTGATGGGGACAGTCGCTGTGAAAACGCTCTCCCACACGGAGCCCCTTTGACTGGGACACTGGCGGCCATCTCTCACGGCAGGCGCTGTCCCACTGGGCATGGGCATCCTGACATCTGGATTGTTAACAGAACCCTCTGCCGGTGGTGCCACTGACGATTCAGCATCATGGCCAAGCGGGCTTGTCCCTGCACTGGTGCCCACACTGTCGAACCGCTCCACACGTGTTTGCCTCACCCCTGGTCCCGGAGGCCCACTGGCCTAACACCGGGGCTGGCCTGCACCCTCCCCTGCGGTCTGTCCCAGCGAAGCCCAGCCTAAGGCAGCCGCAGCAACGGCGGCTGGGCCCACAGCCTCTCGGGGACTGCAGGCGGCGCCAGGCGGTGGCTCCTCCCCGCCAGGCACCGGCAGGGCTGCACATCCACTGCACAGCGGGCATAACTTAGGTCACTGTGCTTCGGCCATATCCTGTTAAATTACTTGGCGTCTTCAGCTTCACCATCCCACTGGATTAGTAACGGGAATGTGAGCATTGGATAGCATATAGCTTCTGTGATACTTGGGTGTTTCGTTTGTGTGTCCACATGGCTCCCTAGGTCCAGTGGGCAGGCTCACCCTCCCGGAGCACCCAGAGGGCCATGAGCCATACACCGCCCCTCACGCCTACACTGTGTCCTCCAGTGCCCTCCCCTTCATGGCCTCGGGCAAGAAGACTGCCATCACGAGGACCAGACACACGCGGCCAGCTGTCAGCACCTCTCCGCGGTGATGGCCTCAGGAGCCCCAGCTACCTGGGAGACAAGGATGCCTCTGAGCCAGCTGTGTGGCACCCCCTCGTGGCCAAACTCACAAAGCTGTCCAAGTGTGTCACCGCGCTTTGTGGCTGTGGAAGCAGGACAGAGCTGGGCAACATAAACAGACAGGGGGCTGCCCTTCGCTGCGTTACTCCACACCCACCTGCTCCCCACCAGCCTGGGGCTAACCCATGCCAGCAATTCCTCACCAGGGACAGTATCCAGGACATCTACTTCCATTCTTACTATCAATATCCTTGCAAAGGGTAGAGAAAACATACAGACTTGTGCATACTAAAGTGTTACTGGCTTAGCTTAAGGATATGCATTTTAGAGATGTGCATTTTAAGAATATTTCAGCACCATTTAACCCACCCTCCCCCAGGAGCCTCTAACCATGCAGACAAGGAAGGTGGGAAGAGGAAAGCTTCCCTCAGCCCACCTCAGGGTCTGCTCAGCCCTGTGACCAAATGGCATCGCTGACTCAGTGACTATAGTTTCAGACTTCCGTGTGCTGCCGCTGTCTTACACCGTGTGTCCATATCGCCCTGCCACCTGATTTCCACTGAACATTAGAAAACTAAACTCTCGGGGCGCCTGGGTGCCTCAGTCAGTTGAGCATCGGCCTTCAGCTCAGGTCATGATCTCGGGGTCCTGGGATCGAGCCCTGAGTCGGGCTCCCTGCTCAGTGGGAATCTGCTTGTCCCTCTGCCTCCCCACCCCGCTCATGAGTGCTCCCTCTCTCAAATAAATAAATGAAACCTTTAAGAAAAAAAAAAAACTTGAGTAAGGCCATAAAAATGATCAAATCCCAGAGCAAGGGTGTTGTTCTAAAAGCACTTATGCATGTACCCACTTTCTCTTTCACACATACATCGCTCACTGGCAATGTTTCACACACTTCTTTATGTGCTTTGTGATCAGCAGGCTGAGGGAGGCTGATGTGCCCTCTCACTGACAGCGATATGCAGAATTCAGGGCAGACATAGTGGCTGGTCCCCGCCACCCAAGGACACTGGCCAGATCCTTCTCTGGGTCTGTGTGGCCACCCCAGCCTGTCTCTCAGTTCCTCATTGAGAGCTTGCTCTGAGCCTCCAGGATGTGAGACTAAGGAGAGAAGGCCCTTCAGGGTCCAGGTAGTACTGAGCAGGGTCTCCAGTGAGGACTCTGTGCTCATCGTCCCGCCGGCAGGTGGCTTTGCGGGGCGCAGTGGGGAGTCCTCCACGAGAACTGGGAGCGAGCTATGGAGCAGGAGAGGGGTCTGCACATCATAGTGGGATGGTGTATTCATGGCCCCATGATTGTAAGGGCAGAATCTTCTGATTATGTCACTGGTTTTGTGTGTGAGGAGCCGTGACCTCATGTTGTCACATTCCGTAACAGCCCTTTCTCTTAAGATAAGGAAGCCACCTGCTGGGCAAAGAGGTCTTATCAGGATGTTTCCCACTGAGGGAATTTGGGGAAGAGAAGTCACCCTCACTGGGGAGCTGCCGTTGGCTCTGGGCGGTCCTTCCCGCCCGCAAAGAACTTTCTCAGGGAACATATGTGATGAATACACGTGCACACATACACACTGTGTAGTACAAATAATTCTGCAGAGGAAAGTTTGCATACAGTGCTGCCCAGGGTTTCCAAACAAAGATGTGCAGGATACATGGGCTTCGGCTCTATAAACCCAGGGGTTGAGGGAGCTAATCTCAGGAAGCCTGATGGAGAATCATTTCACTGCCTGCTCGGGTAAAAAGAAGCCAGTTGTGTTGACTGCTGGTTCCTGTGGCACAGCAAGTGACCTGCCCATCCGGGATGGCCCTGTCATGGCGAAAGGGTACGTTGTTGGGAAGGACCCCCCACAGCATCCTCTTCCGGGAACGGTGCCTTTGGGCCTGCCCCCGGGGCCTCCTGCGTCTGTTCTGGGCACTTGCGCCAGGTTTGGGGAAAGAAAGGAAAACCAGGGTTGGAGAAACTTTCGGTCTTAGCTCTGTTTTCTTCCTTTAACCAGCTTTACAAGATTTTGTTTAAAGTTTCTAAATAAGATTATATTTCTCTCCCTGCTCACTAACAACAAGGGCATTTAGGAGTATTAACCCACTGGATTTCAATTCTTTGTGTCTTTCCAGAAAGAGAAGAAGAGTGGGCTGCTGAAGCTTCTCGCTGGGGCATCCACCAAGAAGAAATCTCGCTCCCCACCGTCCATCTCTCCAACCCACGACCCCCAGGTGGCAGTGGACACCTCCCTCCAGGGTGCAGTGGGGCCCGAAGTGTCCTCGCTGTCCATCCACGGCAGGGCAGGGTCCTGCCCCATAGAGAGCGAGATGCAGGGTGCCGTGGGCATGGAACCACTGCACAGAAAGGCGGGCTCCTTGGATCTGAACTTCTCCTCATCCCCCTCCAGGCAAGCACCTCTCTCCATGGCTGCCATCCGTCCTGAGCCCAAGCCTCTGTCCAGGGAGAGGTAAGGGGGGGAAGGTGGGCTCACATCCTCTGGCACCTTGGTGTGGGCTGGGGTCTCTGAGTTTGGAGCCATTGAGGGGAACAGTGACAGTGGGGATGTTCGGCAGATTAAATTTACCAAACATCCCTCTTACCCACATCTACTAGGCTCCTGAGCTTGGATGGTAAGCATCAGATAAAACACATTTGGGAATGAAGGGGAGCATATTTCACATTCTGAATCCACCTGGGTCCTGAGTTTGGGATTTGCAAGGGATTCATCAGAACATTTGGCAGAACTGATGGGGTACTGAGCCCAAAGAGTGAGTGATGATGTTAGTGAGGAACTCTGTCCCCTCAGCCCTGTGGGAAAACTGGAGTGGACCTCTGGGCTGAGTCCCATGGCCTTTGTGCCCTACCCTGGAAGCAGCTGTGACATCTTAAAATTATAAAGCATTACCCCCAAATTGGCTTCAATGTATATAGTCTATTGGGTTGAATTATACAAAATTGCCAATATTCATTTGTTCTTTACCAAAACCAGAAATTTCACAGTTAAGCCTAGAGTTTTACAGAACAATAAACTGAATCTACCGGGGAGGGGGCCTCGGGTGCCAGAACTTTACAAGGGGTCGGAGGCTGGGCCCATTTGAGGCAGTCCTTCGAGAGCTTCGAATAAGGGTTGGAAGGCACTGCAGAGAGAGGGGATTGTGTCAAATTAGGACAGCGGCGAAGTCCTTTCCCTTCTAAGTGCCTTCTCGTTGGAACACTGCTTAAATAGTAAAAACGTGAGCAGTCTCCTGAGAAAGCAATCTTGGCGTTTCTGTCAGAATCCCCCCTCCCGTCAGCCACACTGCCTGACGGCCTGCTCTTTCCCGTGCCCCCCGGTGCCTGAAGCCTAGAAGGCCAGCACTGTCCTGAGCACCCACTAACCTCTGGTGCCAAGGCAGAGCTAGCTGAGGTTCCACCTAAATGGGGGATGACACATCTTTTCTGTCAAGGCCCAGATGGTAAAGTCCGCAGACGTCGTAGGTCATAAGGTCTCTGTCGCAACTACTCAGCTCTGCCATGACAGTGTGGGGCAGCGATCGACAAAGCGGAAATGATGGGTGTGGGTGTTCCAGTAAAACTCCACTGACGGACACCAAAATTTAAATATCATGTGATTTTCTTGTGTCATGAAATAGTCTTATTTTGACGTGGTTTTCAACCATTTAAAAAAATAACCGTATTCTTAGCTCTCGGACCACACAAATCAGCCACAGGCCAGTTTGCCGAGACGTACCCAGATGATGGGCTGTAGCTGGGCTGATGCTGTGGTGCTGAGACCCAGGGCCGCGGAGAGGACAATCTCCCCAGGTGGTGGAGGGGCAGCGTGAGCTGGTTATGGATTTCTGATCAAGCGTTGTAGTGTAAGTCCGCATTTATGCCTGCATTTAGGATGATAGCTCGCATTTTTGGAGTGACATTCAGACACTCACCAACCAGTATGGATTCCAGCCATAAACACCTAGAACAGCCGTGCTGTCATGCGCTTACCATCTGCTGACACTGCCCTCGGTGTCTCGTGTATGTTACCGCAGTCCTTGCAAGAACCCTACAAATTCCCATCTTATAGAGGAAGAAACAGAGGTTATTGAAAGGCTGTCACTTGCTCAAGATCACACAGTAAATTAGCAGCCAAGCCAGGGCTTGAAGCCAATTTGGGGGTAATGCTTTATAATTTTAAGATGTCAGAGCTGCTTCCAGGGTAGGGCACAAAGACCATGGGACTCAGCCCAGGGGTCCACTCCAGGTTTCCCACCGGTCTTTGCTGGCTCAGAGCCTCAGAGCCTGGGCTCTGACCCACTCAGAGGAGCATGGTCAGCAGTCCCCCCAATATACAGTCTGCCCACCAAGGAACCTGGGTGTCTCTGGCCTTCAAACAATATGGACCATGTCATAGCCCTGCCAGGATATCAGCATATGCTTCTGGGTCCTCCACAGTTGATCACCAACCCCCTGTCTGTCCAAGATACACCTGCTGTTCGGACTCACTCAGTGCAGAACCCATTACCATAAGGTGCCTCCCCTATAGCAAACCCCCAGGCCCTGCGGAGACTGGGTTCACACCTTACCACACCACACCTGATACCACACACATACCCCCAAACACACACACCACACAACATACATGTACCACAAATACCTCACACACATCTCACAAATACCACACACACACACACACACACACACACACACAGACACACACACTTTCTCTCTCTTCCTCCAGGGAGCCTCCTCCAACTTTCTGTAACTCTTTCATGTCAGAACCTTCTTCCTTCCACAAGACCAACCCCCAGCGGCCTGTGATTTCTGAATGTGGTTCCCAGTCCTTTGCCTCAGGTCGCAAATTTGGTGACTCCTGAGAATGACAGACCTAGATATTTCAAAGCTGCTCTCATATCTCCCCTAGGTTTCTATTCTCCTCAGATCCCTTGATTTCCAGACTCCTTCATAAAAGGTCTTAAAAGACCCTATTCTAAAAAATCATGGGAGTCTATGATTAACTAGAAAGTTCAGAGAATTACTCTCATTCTGTGAATATTCCATCTAATCAGGGCTTATTGTACCCAGAGACTCGTGGCACCCTGCTTGTCCCCAGCACGCTGTGCAGCTCATTAGTGATGAGAGTTTTCAAAATACAGCCTGAAACCAAGCTACTGCCTAATGAGCCCCCAAATGCCCCCTTCCCTCACCCTGTGCAGCCCATAGGCTGCCTCATGTCCTGGGGAGCCCCAGCAGGTTGGAGCGAGGGTTTAACAATGGAAAGGCTTAGTCTCTGGGCTGAGGCAGCTCCAGAAAGCACTTGGCCTAGGGCCCCTGTAGGCGCGTGAATAAAACTCAGCCCACAGCTGGAGGGGAGCAGCTGTAACAAGACTCCCTGCTGCGGAGGCCCGGGCATTCTCTCTGCAGACCACAGATTGGCAGAGAGCCTGCTGTGCGCAAGGCCACTTTACAGGTTCAAAGGTGGGAGAAAGGCAAAGGGCAGCTGGGGCTCAGACTCCAGGAGGTTCCTACCACCAGCATGCTGAGGAGGGGGTCTCTCTCACCCTGAGCGGAGCGGCAGGGCTGTGGCTGCTGCATGTCTGGGGTGTCTTCTATGTACAAAATCCCTCGGATCTCACCTTTTCCCTCCTGAGGACTTGGGAAGACACCAGGAGCTGCTCTCCGAACTGCTCACAGAGTAAGGAAGTTTGGACTGGAGGGAGGCCGCCCAGGGGAGTGAACCACGGAGAACTCCCCTCAGGCCCACTGGGCCAGGCCCGCAACCCAGCTCACTAGAGGCAGGCCTGGCTTTCAGGAGACCTGTAGGAGCCAAACCCACAGGCCTAATGTGTAAACCAGAGTGCCCATTACTAACCCTTCCTCGGGAACCTACTCTTAGGTAGGTATATTAAGGCCCATGGACAGTGTATGCAGGGAGCCACATTTCTGGAAGGTACTTGGGTACACATAAGAGCAGGGTAGTTATGGAATCCAGTAACACTGTCTAATGCCCCGTCTCCCTGGCAGGGATATGCCAACCCTGGGCAGGTGCGGCGGAGTTCCTGGGCCAGCCTCCCCACTGCACATCCTTTAGATGCCTGCCTCCTGGCTCTCTTACACCTCAGGGAGGTTGCAGAGTGGCTCTGAGAAACAGGTGTGCTGACCACTTATCAGCCAGTTCACCCAAATAGGTGTCTTCATTTCTTCGAGTCCCCGTTCCCCCATCTACAAAGTGGGGATATACCTATCTGATAGTTACAATATTTGTAAAACACATAAATCAATACTTGGGAAATTATGAATGCATGAAAAAGAACAATACTAATATGAAATGATGGCTGTAATAATATGAAATGGTGTGACATATAGAAGAATGATCTGATGATGCCTCCAGGGCTGCCTGGCACCTCCCTCTCCCACTATTGATTGGCAACGTTGTTTTTCCCACATGTTCACATACTCCATATATTTATCCTCACCTCTTACCGGCCTGTGAATTGTTTGGCTTTGTTAGGATTTAAAAGTTTTTTGGCTTTGATCTGTTATGTGTCATGGTAGGTAGAGTAATGGCTTCCCGAAGATGTCTATGCCCTAATCCCCAAAACCATGACATTGTGGCCTCACATGGTCTCAAAGAATGAAAGCTGCAAGCATAATAAACGTTGCTAACCAGCTGACTCTAAAATGGAGAGATTATCCTGGATTATCCGGGCAGGCCCAGTGTGACCACAGAGTCCTTGTGAGTAAAAAAGGAAGGCGGCAGAGAGGGTCAAGGTGATGCAGTGTGAGGACTCAAGTGGCCGTTGCTGGCTTTGAAGATGCAGGAAGGAACGTCCAGCCAGGAATGTAGGTAGCTTCTAGGAGCTGCAAAAGACAGGGGAGTGCATTCCCCCTCGAGCCTCCAGAAGGAATGCATCCTGTGAGACTCTGTTAGATGTCTGACTTAAGAAAGAACTGTGAGTAAGAAATTTGTGCTAAATTATTGCGGAAACTTGTTACAGCAGCAATAGGCAACTAATACGTGTGTTGATACTAGAGTTCAGTGTTCAGGATATAGATATACACTTATTTCCAAGTTCCTAGAGGGACCCTGCTCTGCGATGATCACATTCTACCAGGCTGGGGATCACACGTCCTCAACAGCACTAAAGCAAGTGCTCTGAAGAGCCTGCCGCTCAGAGGCCCCCTTGTGACCCCTGTTGTCAGGAGGGGAGCAGGTGACTCAGGAGGAGGACGCGCCACACCTCACATGTGAAGCTAATTGCAATATGCAATGGTAGGAATTCATTCTGATTCTGAGCCTTCTGATTTCCTGAGTTTTGTGTCTGAAAACGATCTGTGGTTGACATAACCTTACCTCAGCCAAGGGGAGTCTCTTCTGATTTATGACACCATGGTCACAACATGGGAGTAGCTGCTGTCCTTAACTGTTCATTTGGCCCTTTGTGTCTATAACAGGGAGTATCAATTACTTTCAAGCAGCAGGAAAAATAGCTCAGAGTCTTGGAATGATCTGGACAGGAACGTTAAATCCTCAACTCTTATATAAAAGGCCCACATCATCCAGCTGGGCTCATTAAGTCATTGAATTGCTCAGAAGCACTAAATTACTTTCTTTCTAGCAAATTATATTTTCAGAGTTGCTTGTTGCTTCACATCTGGCAGTTGAGGCAAAAGCCAAAACTTGTGTTTGAAGTCTGAGAAATCATCTCACTCTTTGCCTTTTCTTCCTCGGGGAAGAGAAGGCGGCGGGTGTTTGGAGAAGGGTGGAGGGGGGCAGAGAGCCTCAGGTAGGGCCCGCACTGGTCCCTGCCATCGCATACACAGCCTGGGTGCCGGCCCCACAGATCTCACAGACACGGAGGCCAGCTGTCCTTTGGGGAGAGGATGCAGGCAGCCATTTGCAGAGATTCTGGGCTGGGAGGAGGGCGAGAGGCATACTCTCTTTTCTCTCCTCCTTTATACCCCAAAAGCCAGCAGGGACAGCAGTGGCAATGGGCCCAACCCTCCCACACCTACTGCCATTCCAAAGCACTTAGCTTGCCTGGCTGGCCCAGTGCCTGGACCTGCCAAGGTGGCCTCAAGAGCCACCTTGCTCTCTGCCCCCTGCTCTCAGCCTGGAACAAGCTGGGACCGGGAGTTTCCCAGAGTGGGGCCTGGGTCTTCTCTGCCTGTGCATCATCCCCCAGCCTCCAGAGTACCAACCCCAGCTGCCCCAAACCATGGCTTCCCTGTCCTGACCCCGATGGGCCAGCGCCCCAGGCCCTATGCACAGGTGGCTGAAGAATGAAGACTTGCTCAGCACTTTCACCTTGACTCCCACACAGCAGCAAGCAAAATAGAACTTGTCGAAAATCCACACTCCTGGACCCATTCCACGGAGATTCATCAGTGGGTCCAGGATAGAGCCAGGGGTCTGACCCAGGGGTCATGGAGTCTATGGCCATGCTTTAAGAAATGCTGATGTAGGATCTCTTTTGTTTCATAATGTCCTGCTTTCCCCCCAACCAGAATATACAGGTCAGAGGCTCCACATAGAGAGCCCCGTGACAGTCCTCAGGACAGCCAGCTTCAGGGACACCTGGGTGATCTCCTTCAGGGGCCATTTGTGTGGCTGTGGCCGGTGAGGGAGGCAGAACCCAGGCGACAGACCTTCACAGCCGGCAGCCCAAAGGAGACTGAGGGTGAAGGAACCACAGCCCAGGCACGGCCAGGGAGAAGACAGCAGCGGGACAGCACCTCCCAGGGGTGGGCCCTATCGTCCAGGTCAAGCCCTGGGCCTCCGAGGTCCAGCATCACCACCCCTCCAGTACATGGCTCCTTCCCTGGCTCATTTCCTCTTCAGGGGTGACCCAGTCCCCAAAGGCCATCGGTCATTCTGCTCCTTGGCCATTAGTCTGGCTGACATTCCTCTCCTGTGTCCAATGGCAGACAGCACGAGTTGAAGTGTATGCTCTGGGCTAGGCGGAGGGGCTGCTTGCTGGGTGGTTGCCGTGGAGCCGTGGGCCCAGCTACACGCACTGCCCACCTCCGCACCAGCAGCCAAAGCTGCCCTCCTCCAGCTGCTGCCCCCCCAGGCGAGGCCACAGTCCGAGCTGGGCTAGAGGGAGGGACTGCATTTCAGGCAGGAACGTTCCAGCTGCATAGATCGAGGTCCACAAGGACACCACGGGGAAATTATTCTTTTTAATTTTAATAAACAATGAAAAGGTTGTTTAAAAATTAAAATCAAAGTAGAAAATTTTAAAAGTGGAGGAAGTAGCCCCAAATTATAATAATTTACACCGGATGGAAAAGGAAAGGCAGAGCGAAGAGCAGGCCCTGGGAGTCATCCTCCAGCCTAGGGTCAGGCTCACCCAATGTGGTGTCTGTTTCCCCCCCAGGTACCGCGTGGTGGTCTCGTACCCTCCCCAGAGTGAGGCAGAGATTGAGCTGAAGGAAGGCGACATTGTCTTTGTGCACAAGAAGCGGGAGGATGGCTGGTACAAGGGGACCCTGCAGAGGAACGGCCGCACCGGTCTCTTCCCGGGCAGCTTCGTGGAGAGCTTCTGAGGACACGCTCCCCACACCCCGCTCCCCAGGCACGAAGGCTCCCCGAGATCCCCAGGGAGCAGAGAGAGGCAGGCCACTGAGGGTCCCAGGTCCCTTTCGAGGCTCCTGGTGAGGCCACCCTGGACGGGGACAGGAGCCGGGGTATGTGGAGGTCGTGCCTTTGCCCACAACTCCCCACCAAGAGCACACCCTGGGGTTGTTCTCCGACAAAATGCTTCCCTCTGTGTAAACTGTAAAGAAATATCTTTGAAAAGAGAAGCTGCTGATGCGGGTCGATCGGCTCTGTGACAGACTGCTAAGCGGCAGCATTCTTGTTCGCTGCCCACAAGAGCCTGGAAGCTGCAGAAGGGCTGCAGGGCTTGGGTGGCAGGCACGGAGCCCAGGGCATCGGCAGAATGTCTTGACAAGCTGCCCTGGGCTTCTCATGGGGGGTCCAGATTGCTCCATCACCTCTCTATATACCTCAGTCGCCTGCCACCTGGCCACTCAGCAAGGGTGTCCCCAGCGCAGGGCCTTGGCCGGGTGGCCAGAGTCCCCGGGGCAGCCCAGCACGCAACTCCTGTCGGAGGCATGAGATCGCACTTGGCTTTGTCTCCTACCCATATTATAAGCCACACGTTTCGTTTTGCTGCCACTGTCCCTTTGCATTGCTTCTTTCTTACAACATCTTTTTAAAGTAAAGCTGTTAGACTTTCTATATTTCTAATAGGTCATACATTGCCTATTTTTCATACATCTGGTGCTGCCTTTTTGTAAAACCAGTTATGACTTGGTTGAGCTTGAAAGAAAAAAATGAGCTGATATCAAGTGGGCAGGATTTTTATATGTACCATGTGAATTTTGGGAAAACTCTGAAAAGCCCACATACTCAACATCAGTGCTGGCTACTGGTCCGTGAAGAAGAGGGAATCCATTTAAGTGGTTGGAGGGAGTTTGGAAAAAGCCAACTTCTTTAAACTCTTACCAAAGCCCCATGCTATGTCTAGACAGTGGTAATTATTATTCAAGAACTGGAACCATTTCAAGGAAGGGTCACTATAATTGCCTTTTGTGTGTCAGTAAAAAGAACATGAAGGTCAACCCCAGCCTAGGAAGGCAGAATTTTCCTTTTATTGCTTTAGAGAAAATGACTACAATTAGCATTATCGAAATATGATTTCTCAGTACTGAAACGTGCAGTTTTCAACCACAGTTCAGATTTACCACCTTGTGATGGTTTCATCTTTTTTTTTTTTTTTTTAAATAAATGTTTCCCTATCAGGCAGTACAAATGTTGGTCTAGAGACTGGAAGTACAATGAGGAGAAAAGGGATTTGAACCATTGCTGCAGACCTGCAGAATCCAAGGGAGCCAGGAGGAGAGAAAGGGGAAGGGGCACCTTTGATCCTGGGAACTTGCCCTGGATGGGGTCCATCAAGGCCTCTTCCTGAGTCCAGCAGCCCAGCCCTCCCACAGACACAGACGCGAGAAGCCCTGTCATGAGGCAGTCTCGTTCTCAAGAGAGTCAGACCTTAAGGATACATTCCTATCAGCTCAAAGTCACAATTCATAAGCCCCTTCTCTCTTCATTGTTACAAAGCCACTCAAGTTTAAATTAGGCTGACTAAATTAGCCTTTGGTAACATAGGATCGCCTGGTTTTCAAAGATGCAACAAAATCCAGAAACACATTCCCTCGCCTGATGTGATGCCTTTGAAATACCAAACACTTATTTTCAGAGTTCCTAATTTTGGGATGTGACTTGGCTATCTGTTACCTCCAGGTGGCTGCCATGCTGGTGGGATCACGCCTAGACAAAGGCTCTTCTCCTCTCTCCAGATGATCATAGATTTAATAGACTTGAGAAATTTGTTCTGAATCAAAGAAAGACAAAATCCAGCTTAAACCCAGGGAGCCCTGGACATGAGTTAATGACAACCAGAAGGTATCCATTTGCCATTGATGCCAAATGAGTCGCCTGCCACGCACAAAAATCATGTGCGTGTTTAAAATCATGCCATCACCAAAAATGTGCACGGATTAACATGCTGAGTGAGACACGGGTTCCCCAGGGAGACCAGAACTAACTCAAATCCCCAGATAATAAGGAAAGCTTTTTTAAAAACATGAAAGCAGTTACCAAGCAACAAAACAGACTAACTTGGACCTTATTTCCTCTCCCAGCCACCGCCCACATGATGCTCGTGGTAGGTGGGAATTGTTGAACAGCCTAGTGGGGCAGCAGCAACCAGGGCCCCCCAGCACCTCTCACGGCAGAGAGCTGGGGCCAGCGTCCAGTGCCTTTGCAAGGCATCAGCCAGCCTCTCTTGTGGCAGAGTTGGGGCAGGCATTGGTCTGACCTTGGGAAGGAAGCAAGGCCATATGCCAGCCGTCACCAGGACATCCTTTGGGGTGGGACTCCCAGACAGCAGGGAAGTGCCCAACCATGCCCCACGCTCTGGGCTGTTGGCAAACACATCCCACCAAATCCCCCTTCGTTACCATTTAGCCCACAGACAAGAGCAGGAGCAGAATTAGACCTTTCGGACCAACTTGCCCTGAAGAACAAACTCATTTTGGCTATTAAGATGAAACCAGCACCTTGTCTGAACCCTCACATTCTACCCTGGCCCAGCAACGTACACTTCTTGGTTATCAGTGGCATTTGGCAGCCAAGGTGACTCGCTTTGAGGAATGCAGTAGAGGCCATAGCCACCACTGAGGTCAGTGGACACTGAAATGACAGGGATATCTGGTCCACCAAAGGGCCTCAGAAGTGGAGTGGGGAGACAGTGGGCAAGCAATTCCCTGGCAGCCTCACTGTGTGAATGCCAGGCTCTGGCACCCCAAACAAGCTCAGCTGCCTGGCTGGGAAGTTCTTTGTACTTTGCACAGTTCACACACACCCACACACACACATACACACACACCGATGTTTTTGTTATACACAAATGTCAGCGTGTGATTTTGGAAGAACTGACAGTGACGACAAACTATGATGCCTGTGTTTCTGAGTCTTTAAATAAAAATGAACATGGAGAGGTCTTGTGTCTGGATGATGCGAGCAGTGAGGTTGGGGGCAGAGGCCGAGTGGGCCCAAGCAGAAATGCCCAAGTGGATAGGAGCATGAGGGGGCAGGTGCCACAACTGTGTCCCTGCTGGCCAGCACATTGGCTCACACACCTACCACCACAGAATGCTTCCATGTGGGGAGCACAGGGTGGTGGGTCATTAAGGAGACCAGGAATGTCAAGACAGCCATATCCAGCACATGCCAGAGATCCACTGGTTGGGCAGTAAGTATTGAGCCACAGGCTGGCGGGTGTGCAGAACCTCTAGCTCTCCTCCAGTGGCTCGTTTGCCTGGAAGGTAGAGTGACTTTTTCCAGATGACTCACATTCCTTTCTTATGGGAAAGTGTTTTGTGCCAGCAGCAAAGTCCATCAATTCCAGAAGTGCCTGGAATTGACCTCCCAGACCAGCACACTCATCGCCCTGCCCTTGTCTGTCTGGCCCTCACAGTGCCCGAGCTGTGGGGAGCTGTTCTCTGGAGCACAAGGAGGAGAGTGCCTGGAATCCACCAACAGGAGGGACTTCAGGAGGTCACCGACCTCCAGAAAAGTGGGCCTGTCCCCACATCAGCCAGATGGACCCATGCCTGGCAGAGGGCTGCCCTACCAGCCTGAAACATGTCAGAGTGCTTCTTGAAATAGGATCTCACTGCCTTCGTAGCCAAGACACCCACCAAGTCTTTGACTATCACACAGATCCTTGAGCTGGAAGAAAGCTCAGCAAGGAGCCATTTTACTCTTCACAAAAATTAAGTGAATGTGTATAAGCACGGGTTATGGATGGGGAGTATAGTGAGGGCCCAACACTATAATAAGGAAGAATGCTCCACGCTCGCTTAACCCTCCTGCCCTCAGTGAAAGATACTCTTATTCTCATTTGCTAGATGAGCAATCTTCACCTTAGAAGAGGTGAAATGAATTGCCTCAGGTCACACTGCTCACAGAACATTATGACCCAGACTCAAGCCTGTTGTAGCTCCACAAGCTGGACCCTAAACCCTCTACAGAAATAAAATGTCAAGAATGAGAGCATGAGAAGAGGGGGACAGAGGACATGTAGGCAGTGCCCATCACAATATATCGGGAAAGGGTGCCTGGTCGGACAACGCACAAGTCTGTGGGGCAGGGGTACCCTGACTATAGAGGCAGATATGGCAGCCTCGCAGGATCTGGCGCCATTTTACATTCAAGTCACATAACTTCTGTGTTCTGAACCCATGCTCACTAAGCAAACAGAACTAACTTCCCTTTGCTGGTTTAACACCCACAGGGAGAACAGCGTTCTATTCAAGGAAACTCAACCAGTCAGCCTGCATACTGGGCATTTGTCACCAGCCACCAGTAAGTTGAACCTTCAGCAGAGGGCTCAGGCCCTGTGGATTTTATGAGCAGGAGTCACATCTCTGCCTCTAACTTACAAGGTGGCATGTCTGCACTGGGGGAGCACTGGGTCTTCTTTCCCAGAGGAGAAGCTCCACAGGCAGGCCTTCATTTACATTTCTTCATGAAGAGCCATACTGGGTGCTGCCGGGCAAGCTCCAGGGAATAAGAGCGGCCAGCCCTCAGCAGAGCTGCTAGGACAACTCACAAATGGCTGTTAACAAGATGGGCTAGTCTGGGAGAGATGATGCACAGAGTTGTGTGAAGACTCGCAGGAGGGGGAGTCAAGCCCCTCGGATGCCTCCCTGTGAATCTCTGCTGAAACTGCGCTTTTTAGAGGCGGGGGGAGGCCAGGGCCTGGGGCCTTTCCAAATGGAGGGACTGACATACTATCCAAAATCTTTTCCTTATACTTGATTTACAAACATTATCTCCCTTTGTCCTAACAATATCTCCTTGAGATGTGGTCCTTATTCCCATTTTATAGATGAAGAAATTAAGACTCTAAGAAATTATACTATTAGCTCTGAGTTAAAGGAGTGGCAGGGCCAGGACTTCAGACATCCAGTCT